GAAGTCCTAGCATGTAGTTCCGAACAAACAACTGTGTTGACTTTGAATTTATACTATGAATGTGTGTATTTTTGAAGTTGTAAACTTTATTTTCCGGAATTTATATTTCCGCGATCTGAATAAAACACAAAGACAATTGACAAGTCTACAAATGTAAAGTTTACATGATTGTCGAATTTTGATTATGAGAAACTATGGAGGGTCATCAGTGCCAATTTTTTTTCTTTTTTTTTTATTCTAACTTCTTCTTTTTCCAACTGAAATAAATTACTTAAATTTTATTTCTTTTTTTATTCTAACTTCCAATTTTATATTAATATTTTCATTTGAATTTGTTATTTAATTCTAATTCTAACATTTTATTTATATGTTCCATTTTTTTTTATCTTCTTAATAATTCTATTTTATTTGACAATGTGACATGAATCATTACCCGCTTATTCACGGCTTGCGCGGATCTAGAGGGGCTTCGGTTTTTAAGGTCTCAACCGAAAAAAATATTCAATTTGACTTTCATTGCCGAAGGAATAGTCATTACCAACACGTATGTTAAAAGTCTTACATTTTGCCGGCCTGCACTAGGAACTTAGGACAAGCGAACTCTTACCCTCCAATGGCCTTCGAAGCTAGCTCCCAACCACTAGGCTACTGTGATCAGTACCCCAGTTTATTAAGAACCAATGTACCTGCAATGATATCATATTAAAAAGAACAACAATCACTCAGTAGATGAAGATCCGTATCAATGTTTATCAGGGGGGGGGGGGGCTAAAAAAAAAATGACGAAGGAAAAAAAAATAAACTGCCCAAACTCTTCCTTTGTGGGAGACGATGTTTAGGATATCTTTAACTCTTCAGTAACTTTTTTTTTCAACGCGAGAATTTGCCAGAGTTTAATGATACTGCAAATTAAGGGGGATGGGGTTGGGGGTGGTTGGGCATACAACCTATAAATGAATTTATATATTAAAACAGCTCCAAAAGATTATTCTCCACACAAAAAAGTTGGGAGCCCAACCTCTCGATCCCTCCTACTTCGGACCTGAGATTTGTTAGTAAAAAAAAAATTCTCTGTCCTACTTTAAAAAAATAATGTGATGACAATATCAATTTAAAGATACCTGATATTTGCGTACATGTACCATAAGCAGGCAATCAAAAATGGCAGTCATATTTATCATATTTGAAACATCTTGCACCAGGGCCATAGAACTTGGGCTCATTTTTGATCACATTCTCACATTTACCAAAGGAATTAATAGTATGTAGAAAAGAGAGACTGGGATCAAAAGTGAGCTCATCTAAGTTTTATGACCCCGAACCAGGTCCGTAGGTAGCAAGTGGGGTGAGGGTGCCAGTATATACTATATCAATAAAAAAAGCAATTTCTGATTGTGCCCCCTCAATAATTTTGTGGGTAAATACAAAAGAAAAGAAGTAAGGCTAATTCATCGTTGTGCCCCCTCAACAGGAATGTTTCATTGGGGGGGGGGGGGGGGGTGCTTATCAAGAAATTTTTGTTTTGTGCCCACTGCTCCACCCCACCCCCATCCAATGAAAATGCTTCCTACGGGCCTGAAAACGAGAGAAAACACGCAAATATGATATCATATGGTTTTTAAAATGAAAAAAAAAATATTCCATGGAAATGTTTCTACGTTTCGTAGCTAGACTGTTCGCCAAGATCTCTGTGTACCTGTACATAAAAGGCCGTAGCGCCCCTTTTCGATTAAATTTTATTCGGATTTCTTAATTTAACTCTGTAAGTTCTACTTTCTTAAACAAACTTTCGATTTTGCTTATAGTTGTTTCCAAAAAAAAAATAAATAAAAAAAAAAATAAGTATCATGTTAGGTGAAGTGAAACATAATTGAAGTTTTAAGATAGAATCAAAATACGAAAGGAATCAAAATTGCAAGGGAAAATGATTAAGAGTCCGTGAAATTTTAGTGGCATCTTTTAAAATTCATCTTCTCAAGAAGGACTAGGCCAGTAGAGATGAAACATTCATGAAGAATTCATTATAAACTGTAGATAAGATTCAAGTTTGTTCAAATCATCATCCCGTGTGTGGGATGGGGCCATAAGAAGAATCAAAGTTTTACATAGAAATATATAGGAAATATTTCAATAAAATTTTTCTTGAGAACAGCAAAGCTATTATTAGTCATATTAATTAAGAAGCATCCAGGTATGTATATTGTGTTCAAATCATGACCCGTCAAGTAAGGCAAGGCCACATAAGGGGGTCAATGTTTATCATAGGGACATATAGGAAAATATTTTGTAAATCTTGCTCTCAAGAACAGCAACTCCATGTTTGAGTCATATTAATATAGAAGCATCTTCGGTGTAGATTCAAGATTGTTCAAATCATGATCCCTAAGGTAGGGTGGGGCAAAAACTACAGAGACTTAAAGTTTTTCAAAAGAATATATAGGATATATTGTCTATAATCTTCTCAAAACAAAAAAAAAAAAAAAAAAAAAAAAAAAACAAACAAACAAAAAAAAAAAACATAGCAACACCATCAAAATCATACATGTATTATCCACATCCTTTATATTCAGTTTTTTTTTTTCGTATCATGACCACCGGGGTTAGGGCAGGGCCACAACGGGGGATCAAAGTTTTATATATTATGAATATTTAGAAAATATCTTTAAAAATTTTCCTGTCAAGAGTAGAAAGGCCGTGATCAGTCATTTTAATATAGCAGCATCCTAAGGTAGTATAGATTGAAGTTTGTACAAACCACGAAAGGCAGGGCCACAGTAGGGGATCAAAGTTATCCATAAGAATATATAGTAGATCTGGAAAAATCTTTTTAAAAATAAGTACATGTAACTCAGTGAGCGTTGTGGACTATGGGCCTCTAGTTTAAAAAATCAGTACTGTTGTATTCATTCAAGCTTACCGAAAATAGTCAAAATACACCACCTTTTTGTCTACAATGACTTAAATAAATAACTTTAACGTTGTGCTTGTCGCAAATCTTAATTATAAATTTATTATAAATTTACTTAATATCGTTCTGAATTTAGAAATTGAAAGGTAACTGCAGATGCCTAAAATATATTATAATTATTGTGGCTTATTCCTTTCTCTTCACATGTTAAATTAAACGCAAGCTATTTGTTACTCACCGCAGACTTAGATAAAAGTATTATTTGACAGCAAACACCTCAAATTAAAACAAAACATATGATGTAAGCAAGGGTAAGCTAAGCTGGCGCAAGTGGAAATCATATATTTTTAAACTACATGTTATATTTATTGTACCAATATAAAAGACACGACAATAAGCCAAAGAAAACCTTAAACGAAAAACTATGAAAGCCCTGTACAGGCCCGTAGCAACGTTTTCAAAAGTGGATGGGGGACCTTCCGAAAAAAAATGCTTAGCCAAAAAAAAAAACTAAACATTTTCCTTACTTTTTTGTACATTCCGTTTCCAGTGCTCCACCTTACATCAAGAAAACCATCATCTACATAAAGATTTACAATAGCAAAATACTATACTCAGAAAAAGTGGGGAGCCCCCTCCCCCCCTTGCGTTCTATGTGCCTGAGGTACCCATCGCTCTGTAACTACTAGTAATGTCTCAGGAAGAATATGGAACATACATTAACAGTACTTAAAATATAATCACAAATATAAAATAAAGCAATATTTAATGTTTCAGGGCTAGACAAATAGAATTGCCCGACGCCCAGGACAACCAATATTTGATAAGTGGCACCTGCCCGCGGACAAGTTCTTTTCCAGTTAACAAAAAAAAATCATACACTCAAATGCCTTTTGTGTTATCACTTTTAAAGTATCATTTATCACAGCAAAGCACCTGTTTTCACTGCTGTTGACCACAACATCGAATACTTGGTCGGAACTCCTCTAGAATTTACCCATGATTAACGTGTTGTTAAAATATACAGAAGTTGTAAAACATGGTAGCTAGCCTATCGATGTCGCCAAAAAAAGTTGAATGGGATTTTAGGCTTTTTTTTTATTGTCAAAATATTAAATGCGTACTGTGAATACAAACGAGTTAGTGGTGACTGACTGCTGTTCCCTGGCAATCACACAGCCAGGATGAAGATAGCTCAGTCGGCATGTAGTAGTGTTCACAGATTTGTAGTGTGTGTAGTGTTTGTAGTGTGTGTAGTGTTTGTAGTATGTGTAGGTATTTTGAGATTTATCACTGTTCATTATCTTCACATTTTTCAACAAATAAATGAAAAAAGAGGATCTTATTGAAGAATTTTGAGGAAGAAAGTTCCTTGAAATTAGCCCCCAAAATTTATCTGTGGGGTTTTAGAACTAGGTTGGTCCTCGAGTAGTGTCTCGGTCAAGAAATAATTTCAATATTAATGCTTTAATATTATGTAATTTAGGAAAAAAGTGGGACAAGCATATATTTTTGGAAGGACAAGTAATTTTATGATTGTAACCTGTCCGAGGGCAAGTACTGCAAAATTCTATTTGTCTAGCCCTGATGTTGACTTTTCTTTCGTTTTCTGTGCTCTAAAGAGCACTGGTTAGAATAATACAAACATCGTACTGATTAATGTATTTTAATTGACAATTCTTTGACCATGTCTACCTTGAACAGGAAATGCAAATCGTATACGTCTCTATCATACATGTAAGATGTTTTCCAGCTATTTAAAATTATCATGAAGTGCTGGTATGTGTCGTGCACGAATATGTATGCACAAAACACATTTTCCTCATATTTTTTTTTTTATTTCCAGTAGTCTAAGGGCGATTTTTTTCTGAATTAAAGAACAATTTTTATTATAAATGCTCAGGGAACCATATACACAAAGAAAACAGAATTCCGCGTGGAAATGAGCAAATGTCGTTCGTGACAGGCCTAGGGTAGTAAACATAATTTATAAGATATGCGTTAGCTGTGGCAAATAGATAGACATGGACAAATAAACAGACAGTTTACGTTCAATCCTCTATTTAAAGAAAAAGGAAGAAAAGACCCCGAGTGAACATGCAATAACTTTATTTATTTCTACATCATAAACCAACAATTAATACATCATTAATGTTTAGCATTTGAATCAAGCTGGTATTTGGTCGGCAAAGCTGTAAAATGATGCAAAAGTTTCCCGGATGCTAGGATCAATTTGAGACGCCGGAAGTATGAAACCGTCTGTTCCGGATCCGCTAGCGGGGCGTAACTCGTATACATATGCATACTTAACACCATTCAGCTTGAAGTAGTCGAAAGCTCCACCGGATGCGGCATCTAGAAGAATAGGCATGTGTTAAATTTAACATTTTATGGATTTTTTTTTTCATAAAATGCATATTATCATGTGATTTTACCAACAAGGTACCTCCCGATTTTACTTCATGGTACTAATAAAAAAATAGAATTAATTTTGGACTTACACAAGATTTCAGGACCGTGTCCGACCACAAAGTTGACCCCATTAACCTGTCGCAAGGCCAACATGGCGATGTCTCCTACATTTTTCTAAAAGTATAATGTAATATTGGTAGCATGAATTTGATGAGAGTGGTCAATAAAGTAATGCTAGGCTGTAAAGTACCAAATTCCTTACGTTTTCCCTTAATTTGCTGATACTTACTAGTTCATTGTAGTCGGGCGCTTTTACATTGTCATATGCGTACGGCACCAATAAAAGCTGAGAGTAAGAGTGAATAGAAAGGTAGGATCTGACGTCACCGGTCTCTGCCACAGCATTGATAACGGCTTGTGCCTCGGGCTCGGAGTTCGCGCTGCCTCCACGGTAAGTGTCAGAACACCAGTTACTGGATGAACCCGCACCTTGTTCAAAAGATGATTTCATTTTTCAGTATTTAATTACTTATGCGACTTGAATATTGAAACCTCTTGTGTTGAGGATTTTTAAAAAAATATATATATATATTTTTATCATTTAAGTGTCAGTGCAGAGCGTTTAACATTTAACATATTTCACTTACTCAAATTAACATTTTTCTTGCTTTATTTTAGAATTTTTTTTCTCACCAAAAAATATGACAATGATAATGTAACATGAATAGATGATACATACCGCCCCAGTCAGCTGCAAAATTCCTGTTGAGATCCACGCCCGGGCATGAAGAGACAACATTTACCCTCCTGTTCTTACGCCAGAGTCGCTACAAAGAAAAGCAGAATTGCCTGATTTCAATGAATAAATAAACATTAAATAAAATTAATTTTAAAAAGCCTAGCCAATTCAAGTAGAGCATAGGTATTTTAAATTCCTGAAACTAAATCTCCTAAATCAAATATTTTAAGGAAACAAATGTAGGTCTTACACTTTGTTCATGGAATAAACAATAAATTGTCAAATTGAATAAAATTAAAAAAAAAATGCCCTTGTGATTGAAATATAAAATTTATTTTAATTAGATTCGCATAAATTTTCACCAACTGACGTTTTGTTTTGAAAAGTTGTATCCATCAGGATTCATCATTGGAATAAAGTACCAGTCAAATTTATCCAGCATCAACGTGGCTTGTTGTCCTAGAGTACCAGACTTGCCGTAGTTAGCCGTCAGCTGTGAAGAAATGTAGAATACATTTTTAAAAAAGAAATAATAGCGTATCTAATGAAATTTATCATTTAGCTATGTTCTTTATTTCTAATAAAAATTTTGACATAATATTGAAATACAAAATATTTTTCCAACCTTTTTTTTCATTCAAAAATAAACTGAATTAAATATTAACAACAACCTTTTTTTTCATTCAAAAATAAACTGAATTAAATATTAACAACTTCTTATCATTATAAGTATTTTGGTCAGCACAGTACAATATCAATAGTCCCAAGGCACGCGGATCCTGTAATCCATTCCCGCGCATGCGCAAGGCATTCGATATACATGGCCGGCTTTTTCGGTGCATTAATATCTGCGGCAACCTACAAGAACATAACACGTATTAAGATCTGAAGTTTTATTTTTTCTATTTTAATTTTTATTTTGGCACAAATATTGCTGGTGTATTTTTATTTTGTACCAAAAACAAAGACATTATTTTAAAAATGAGATTTTTTTTATGCCCCTGGATCGAAAGATCCTGGGGGTATAATGTTTTTGTCCTGTCTGTCTGTTTGTCTAGCTGTTTGTCTGTTTGTCTGTCTGTCTGTTGTCAACTTTAACCTTGCCCATAACTTTTGATTGGTTGGAGCTCTGACTCTCATATTTCACATGTGTAATCCTTTTGACAAGCCCTTTCTTTGGGTACCATCATATTTGACCTTTTGACCTTGGAGTTTGACCCACATTTGCAAAATTTTATGAGACTTTAACCTTGGCCATAACTTCTGAACAGTCGGTGCTTGGGGTTTCAAACTTCACATGTGTATTCTTTGTGACAAGGCCTTCCTTCGGATACCAACAACTTTGACCTTTTGACCTTAACCTTGGAGTTTGACCTACTTTTGAAAAACTTTAACCTTGGCCATAACTTTTGAATGGTTGCTGCTAGGGCTTTCATACTTCACATAGGTAATCCTTGTGACAAGACTTTCCTTTGGATACCAACAACTTTGACCTTGACCTTGACGTTTTACTTACTTTTGAAAAACTTTAACCTTCGCCATAACTTTTGAACAGTTGCAGCTAGGGCTTTCAAATTTCACAGGTGTATTTCTCGAGACAAGACCTTCCTTTGGATACCAACATTTTATATCATTTGGCTGGATTTTGACTTGCATTTGAGAAACTTTTAACCTTCGTCATAAGCTGCCATACGGGGGCATCAGTGTTTCACAAACACATCTTGTTTTCTTTATATTTTGATTAGATCATTAATCTATAAATAAAAGTTAATTCGTTTATCAAAGTTGATATTACATTATTATATTAAAAAAAATTACCCAATCGGACAGCCTATATATATATATATATATATATATATATATATATATATATATATATATATATATATATATATATATATATATATATATAAAGTGCTTCACGATTTTTGTAAAAATTGCGAATTATTATCACCGGTACATGTACCAACCTTGACCTGCCAGATGTCTCTGCCCTCATTTGATTTACCGATGCTCTTCAACTCCATCATTCCCGGGAAATTTGTACTCTTCTCTTGCAGCCAAAGCTCAAACTGTGAATGCAGATGTTGGTTTAAAATGGATAATTCTAAATGCGAGAGTATTCAAAATTAACACAGAATTGAAATGAGAGAAAAAAAAAAATACAAGTCTGCTTAAATCCTGGCATACATAACCTGCAACTTCTACAGCTACTAGAATGAATTTTCTTTTACTTTTTTCTTTCTTTTTGTCATTTTACTTTTTTTAAAAATCAGTTTTATTTACTTATCTATTTATTTGGGGGTGGGGTAATTTGTTTTCATTTTTATTTATTTATTTATTTATTTGAAATAGTCGTTGAAGTTATTGGTTAAACAGCTATTTAATGCCCTTGATATCTACATGTTCAAATCACAATTGAGTTTCTATATGAATAGATCTTATAATCTTACGTCTTCCCACATGAGATAAGTTGTCCAGATGTCACCTGTTGCTCGTGTTGCCATGTCTCGGCGCTCTCGTTCAATGGTGCTAAAAATTGATTCACCAATTTATTAATATTCAAGTTCATAGATATATATTCCGAAGTAAAAAAAATATTTTAACCAGTATAAAAATATTATCAAATGCAAAATTTAATTTCTTATTAAGATTAAAATCAATTCTATATTTTGAAGGGGGAAAAGGAAAAGTAATTGACCAACTACATGTTTATGTGTTAACAAGTATTTCAAAATAAATAAATAAGTATTTCAAAACAAATATATTTTTAATGTTTAATTTTGCGAATTTCACAGTAAAGTTTTATAGAAATCAATTTATTCATTAACTTCGAAAGGAATTCAAACTCATGAAGTCGGATTTTAAAACCAAATACGTGCAGTAAATGACTGTTGATTAGTATATTTACATTATGTGAGCTGATAAATACATGTACCTCGCAAAACGTCTTGTATATTAATTAACGATATAACTTTTAAAAATTCTTACATTTCCATGTCCTCATTAATTATCTCAAAATCCAGCTTCATCTTCCTGAGAGATTTCTTGACCTCCCTCAGTTGATTGGGAGGGACGAGAATATCCGTCTTCTGGGCCAGGGAGGGGACTTGGAAAAAGTCGATCTGGGAAAATTATGTATTAATCAAATTTTTATTTCATTACTTAACTGAACTTCTTTAATAACATCCCATTGAGAAGGAAATATATCATTTCCTCCCTAGATATTTTGCAGCCAAAAAAGAGGGGAAAAAATACGGAAAACGTTGGCAGGTAATAAAACTGTCTTTTTGTGGTAAAAATTCATACTTCGGGTCCAGCCTGCAGGAGATTCAGGTACTCTAGCTGCATTTCATTTCCAGCGCGAACGGAAAGGACCTGATATCTGAAAAAAAAGAATGAAATTTTATGATTTATACAAAATACATTTTTTTTCATGTCCGTGCCTTATTTTTATTGTTTATTTCCGAATAGTTGAAAGATAAGAAAATAAAATGCAATTTAAAAAAAAGAGAAAACAAACATGTTACCCTTTGAATGACTTCCGTCCTTTGGAATTTTCAGGATTTCCTATCACTGCAACAATCAAGAGAACGGAGAACACAAGCGGTCCAGCAATCCCAGCCATAACGTCTCTCTGGGCACACCGAGCTTGTCCAAAGGCGAGATACGTTATGTCCGAAAACAGAGAAACGGGGGATATTTTATTCCATATCTGTATTTTGATTGATTTATAATACAATGAAATTTATTCGATCTCTTAAATGTTGGTGCGTGTCCCAAGGAGTTCTTCTTGTCCTATAAATATATGACTTCAGCACGAGAGAAATATATGGCTAAATAAATATAGAAATATTAGTCAGGTCCATTTAGAATCAAGTGCAAATGTCCGAATAACAGTGTGCAGCTCGGGAATATAAACTCAACTCTTTATCTTTTATTTTACCCATACTGTTCAGTACCCCCCCCCCCCCCCCGTAAGAACCTAAAGGATGGCACAAGGGTGCCCTAATACTTATTCGAGTACAAATTATGCTATAGAAAACTGATATAATTTACTGCTGTGGCTCCTCGATGGTAATATGTGCAATAGCCTCCTTTTCTCTCTCTCTTTCTTTTGCTTTTCCTATAATTTTTGTGCGCTTATGAACAACCCCCCCCCCCCCCGGGAAAAAGAAGTTATGAAACTCGTATGAATTTCCACGTGGCTACTTCACTATGTGAGAAACCCAGTCGTGGCCCATTACTTGTTAAGAAATTCAAATTTAGCCACTTTCCCTTAATTGTTCTTCTAGTAGCACTTGCGAAATGCAGCGACAAAATGCACTGTTATATAATATTAGAGAGAGAGAGAGAGAGAGAGAGAGAGAGAAACAATAATAAAAAGAACAGAAGCGCATTAAAGAACCGAACATTATATCGTCAAAATATTCAAAATGATATTGAAATTTTCGTTCGGAAACTTTTCTAATGATGATCTGCAAAGATATTATTTTACATAACATTATTTTTAGGTATATGAAATTATGCAAAAAAGAAATAAAATAATAATCTCTCCAGAATAAGCGGAATTTTTTATGTTTACATAAACAATAGTATTGCCTTCTCCAAGTTATCGTTATCTATATAAACACTTACACAAGTAACATATTTTCTTCAAAGTGTCATCTTATCGCCAGGTAAACAAACATGAGCGATTTATCAGACAGAAAATTGAATTATATTGACCTGCTATTCTTCAATGTCAAATTCTCTCTCTCTCTCTCTCTCTCTCTCTCATATTTTTTTTATTTTTACTGCAATGTGAAGAATCATGTCCTCAAGTGTAGCTCAGTATGAATTTACGCTGATATGCTAAAAAAAGAGACAAGCATCTTAAAGAGTACAACTGGAAGACAATAACGACACGCAGATTATCGGTATATTTAATTTTATACTTATTCATGTACGAAGTAGGTACCTATATCGTTAACGCATGATACGCATATTCAAAATACAAAACATTCCTCAGGTACGTTCATGTATATCATATTTTTCTTCTGTTTTATTCGACTTCATCTGTATGCCGCTAAATGTTAATTTAAGGCTCAATATATCTACAAATTACATTATTCACCTTAAGGACGAAATTTCAGGAAAAAAAAGTCGCTCTCGGGTTGATATAATTATAAAATTCAAAGGCCTAACAAATGGTCAATTGGTATGAAACACGTGTGCAAAAGTACGACCCAGTGATAGGTTATTTTGCAAACCTTCATTATAACGCTCATAGAATTTACAAAATGCTGACTTTAGACGAGGTTTTTAGACAAGGTCAGGCACCAAGACCATAAAATGAGAACAGACTTAACTCAAAATTTCAAATCGATAATATGTTAACGGTGCGACCGTTAGGGCGAGCGCAGATACTTATTGAGTTTTAATTTAGATCTGGCTCGATCGTCAAACTGCACGTGACATTTGGTGCGTCTAGACTCTGACGTCACATGACGCCGTATTTAAGTTGTATTACCAAACCGAATCCTGAACATTGTTAACTTTAAAGAAGAACGTTTTGTTTACTATTTATCTGCAACATATCCATTAAAACAAGGCGAGTTTATTTTTTGTTAAACTTTTGTTGTTGTTCTCACGAAAACGTATCTCAAACAAGCGATGCATTGAGGGTCAAAAAGTTACTGTGGAAAAAAAATTCGTTTGGATCCCAGTTTTCTCAGTTTTGGGTCCCAGTTTTCTCTTCCGTAGCTTCGCCCAGGCGTTGTCGTTAGAGCTCGCTGCGCTCGCTATAGCTTTTGAAATAATTTTGATTATGAATGAATTTTTCATCATATGTTTGAATTGAAGCGTTATGCACAATTGCAAATTTTGAAGCTAATACGTTAAATGAAACTCTTCAGATATTAAAAATCAAAATATCGACTTAAGTCTGTTCTCAGTTTATGGTCTTGGGGCCAGGTTATCTGTCGGTTTTAACATTGATATATTGTACCACGAGCATGTGTGATATCCTATTTTAGGAATGACTCTAATTCTTGGCCAAATTATTCGAGTATAACCTGGTTTGGGTCAGTTTACGCTTTATAATCCGCGGATTATAAAACAGCGTAAACTGACCCAAACCAGGTTATACTCGAATAATTTAGCCAAGAATTAGAGTCATTCCTTATAATTTAATTTTAAAATCATTAAATAACTATGTTTGTAAAATTTCGTTGCTTTTTATGAGTTCAAATTTGCCGCTCAATAATACAACCATAGTAACGGAAGTAACCGAAGTGATGGGAAGCAAGGGGAGGTAAAAACTGATACATAGGCCTAGCAGCCTTGTTGTTTGTTTACATGTTGTAAGATCGAATTATTGTTTGAAGTTAAAGGTACATTTATTAAATCTGGAATTTTCCATGAATCCCGAGGACTGGAAATGAGAGGATTGTATGGATACAGATGATTCAGCTGGTTGTCAGGGGGGTGTGTCCCCATACCAAACCAGGTTATACAGAAATAATTTGTGTTCCTTTTTGGATATTAACCAATCAGAGGCTAGAATACAATGAAATTAAATTATATATATTTAGAAAATGTTTATTTTGTGTGTATGTAAATATTAATATGCGTATGTGTGAATTTAGTATGAAGTATTTTACGTTTTGAACTTTACACCTCATGTGAGGTAAGGGTATATGTGTGTTTATTATTTGCATGAAATTGAGTTTCATGTTATTTTCTCTGTTTATACATTTATTTCAGTTCTGGTTACTGAAAGTTATATTCGTTGATTTTTTGGTTTAAAATTCATAATTTCTAAATTGGAAGTATGTAATGATTTCTTTTCATATTTTGTAAGAGTAATATTTCCATATGGTAATATCAGTAATTTTCTATTATTTCTGGATAAAGTAATTAATTCTAAAGATTGTGTGAAATGAAAGTTCAGTGTAATATATTACGACCAGAGATATAACTAGAGCCGAGCTCGTTGCAAAGCAACGAGTAGGTCTTCCGTTGGAGCTGCGAACAGGAAGATTGAGTCAAGGTCATGCCACATTCTAAGGTTATAAGCAATCTTGTAAGGGGAATCAACTTGCAATGTCTGACCAGTAGAAAGACAGTTAAGGAATGTTGTTTCTCCGTTGATGACCTTGAACTCGTTCAAATGACCTTGCATCAAACCATGACACACTCTGGTTATAAGCAAACCCCATCTATGTGTTACCGACTCGACAAGTTAACACATGTTCTTTCAGACCATTCATGCAGTCAAAACATTCTTTCCTTAGTGACCCTAAATTTAATCAACATGGCCGTAGGAACCAAGGGAGGGGGGGGGCGTGCCCCCCAATAATTTTGCCGATATATAGATTACAATAGTAGACATAGATACTATAGCTTGTGCCACCTCAATAAAAACATCTGATAACCTTCTTTTTTTTTGCTTGTCAAGGAATTTTTGGTAGTTGGTTACCTTTTTTTTTGCTTGTCAGGAAATTTATGGTAGTAGTGCCCCCTCAACTGTCAACTGAAAATGTATGGCTGTGCCCCCCCCCCCAAAAAAAACCCTGAATTTGCTTCCTATGGGCCTGATCAAGGCAATGATACACTCTGTATGATATCAGCGATACCCTTTTGTGTGTTTCAGAATTGACAAGTTCACAGTTTGCATTTATTGCATGATAGTGAGTGAGACATGAAGATTTCTTCGCCCTTAAAAAATCATATTCCCCGAGGGCAACATGAAGATTTCTTCACCCATGAAAAATCATACTCCCCGAAGGCAACGCCCGAGAGAAATATGATTTTTCATTTGCGAAGAAATCTTTATGTCTCCCTCACTATTATGCAATAAATTGTTTATAATACCGAATTAACCAAAATGCAGGAATTACAAAGGAGATCCAATGAATAAAGCAAACATGCATTTGATGAGAACGATATGAAAGAGATGTAAGTTACAGGTACACCAATAGCCTCGTTTCATTAAAAAAAAATTCCTACGTGACAAGTTTGTGTGATCACACCAGTAACATTCAAACACCATTACATTTTTACACATTTAAATCGACACAATCAATCAACGATAATATGTTGACGGTGCGACCCTTGGGCGAGTGCATTGTTCACTTAATTTTAAGATCCGCCTCTTCAAACAGCACCAGACATTTGGAACGTCTAGACTGTGACGTCTCATGACGTATGTTAGCTGTATTTCCATAAACGAATTTTGAAAAGTGCAAACATTTTAACAAAGAACGTTTAATCTACTATCTGTATGCAATTCCATTAATTAAGGTGATTTTTTGGGGTGAATTTTTAGTTGTTGTTACCGCGCGAACGAAGTTAGCAGCGTCGCTATAAACAATCTAACTCCTCACTCGTTTAATTGTGACGTCACAATCGTGAAACACGACGTTTTGTTGCAGGGCAAACATGATGGACACGTGACTTTCTCGGCCAATCAAATTCTATTTTACTAGTGATTTTTCACTTGTAAGCTAGTTTTTACAGAGGTATAATAAACGTTTTTTTAGACCATACATCGAAATAAATTATCATAATTTCTATAGTCGTAATTTATTAGGTTCAACTCACTGCTTTAAAGGATCATTGTAAATGTTTTATGCCCGATTTGGA